TCAAGGATTCACGAGGTGGGAGGGGGAAAAGAGGCGCTGATACCAAGGACTCAAGTAGGAAATGTTTTGGAAATGATGATGGCAACATATGTACAAACATGCTTGATCCAGTTGATGCATGGAATGTTCTACGAATGCCCTAAGAGCCCCCAGTAACATGATTTTTTTTTAAAGGAAGAAAGAAAAGTGAGCAGGGACCATGTCTTGGTCATCACCACCCCAGGGTCTCGAAAGGTACCAGCAGCAGGAGAGACACCTTCCCCTTTGTGAAGGACAAGGGGGCGGCAGGAGCGAGAGCCAGCCAGGAGCAGAGGGTCTAGGAGGGGCAACAGGGCGAGGGGGTTCCTACCCAGGGAGATAGGTCTCGCAGGTCAGGTGGCCAAAGTCAGAGCCGTCACAGTCCTCCACGCCCGCCTGCCGGTGGCCGTCTCCACAGTAGGCCCGGTGACAGCCTGAGAGGACACGGAAGCGCAGCTGAGAACAGGGGCGAGGCATCAGGTGTGCCTCAGCCTGCAAGGCCTTTGTGACCAGCGGGGCCCCACGGGAAGAAGTGCCATCCACAAAGCTCAGCCAGACTCCACAGACAGCAGCTGCCTGCAGACCCCGCACTGATAGGCAGTGGAAGAAGGGGAGGGAGACTCCATGCCATCCTGCCGTGCTGGACACTGAGGGACACTTAGCCCCGATACCCCGCGCCCCCCAGCACCCAGTGAGGGGAGGGTCCGGAGGGGTGGGTGCTGGCTGCAATTCCTGTCTGGAAAACTAGAGCTTCCAGACTGAGTTACACAGCTGATTGGCCCCAGCCTGTGTTTCAGGGACAGCAGGGATCCTCAGTAGGAGGTGTGGCAGTTACATAATCTATTGTCAACTTGAAACTGTTATGAGTGAAGGGGTGGGGGTTTAGCCTGTCAATCAGGTCACAGCTTGATGACCTCATTTGGAGGTGCTACGGAGATAAATAGCTCTCTGGAGGTGGGACCCATGCACACACTCCCTGTGAGACATTCCTGTTGACAAGACACATGGAGCCACGCTGAGAGCCAGAGCCCTGAAGCTGGAGCGGCCATGTGGAGACCCCTGCCAGATCTGAGATGCTTTCTACCCACTGGCCTGTGATCTTTCTGCATTTGGCATCATTGCATGTATTTCGTGAGTCTGAAGAGGAATGGAATGTATAGATTGGTATCGTACATATGGGCCAATATCGGACTTATGGACTTGATTGGGGCTGGGATGTTTTCTAAATATACAGTTACTCTATATAAAACTCTTAGGAACACAGAAGGCCCTCCGGTCTCACACAAAGGGAGGTTGGGGTGTGAACCCCATTTCCATTGTCACAGGGCACAGAGAAGCCATCAGTTCTTTCCTACGGTGACCAAAGACAGGCGGGACTCCGGGCCCCAGCAGTGCCCCAGGGATCAGAGGGTCAGCGGCAGCTGCCCCTGCCCCACGCACTGTACCTTCATCCTGCCCTGGAGCCGCTGGGGGTGGGGGGAGGGGCTCGTCCGTGGGTCTACACACCCCTGCCCTGAATCCAAGCCTGGCTCCCATCGTAGGGGCCTAAAGAATAAGTCTTGGATGAATGTAGCCGGTGGGTCCCAAGCACTACGTGCTAGAGACACTCACCATATACATTCCTGGCTCCTCTTGTCATCATTAGAGATGATGGCATCTCGGAAGACCCGGAGCAGTTCAGAGGGACACACCAGTTTACAGTGGAGGCAGTTGGTGCCCTCCCTCCCCCATCCCACGCACGGGGTGGTGCTTCTTGGCTGAGCCCAAGGCTGAGTTGGCAGCCAGCAGGGCCAGCACTCCGTCTCTGACTCTCAGGCCCGTGCTTTCTGCCTCAGCCTGCCACTTGATTCAAAATACAGACACATGGAAGCCCCACTGTCCATGAGACTGGAGGCAGGTCTGGCTGGGCCAGCTGCTATCGTCAAAAGACGTTGCTCCTGGAACCCCAACGGATAAAACCGAATCCCGAGTCCAATTCCAGGCATTTGCATCCCTTCCCCCACTATCCAGACATGAAAACCACAGCCTTTTGAGCTTGGGTTTTGCTACGAAAAGAAACCGCAAGGTTGGGAGACGGGTGGGGGTGGGAGTACATTCCTCTTTAGAACACCAGTCTTTCAGGGCAAGATCGTTTGCACCAACCCCCACTGATGAGTTTGGGTGGTGGAAGGAGAAAACTGTGGCTGTAGGGGACCCCCACAGCAACCCAGGTCTAGTCCCCCTGGCTCTAGAGTCATCTCAAACCACCACAGCTGGTGACCAGGGTCCTCCCCCGGACTCCCACCCCACCAAGACTGGGCCCCCACTCACCGATGCAGTCATCACCCATGTCGCTGTTACCATCATCACACTCCTCCCCAGGCTGCAGGACCCCATCACCGCAGGTTCCACGGTGGTCTACAGGGTCCTCCACAGGGTAGAAGGGGGTCAGCTGGCCAAAGAAACAATAGTTACTGGGAGACAGAAGGGACATCCAGGCAGCCAATAAGCAGGGCCGGGCACTAGCTCCTGGGTTCCAGGGACCCCACTGGCTTGCTGGGGCCTCTTCAGAGTTTCCTCCTCCAGACTAAGAAAGGCAGTTCTTTCCCATTGCCCAGAGCTCCGTAGATGGCAGGAAGGCTGGGCCAGCGTCAGACGGCAGCCTTCAGGTTGGGGATGTAGAGACAGGTGCATCCTTAGTTATGGGCCTTCCTCACCCAGAGACTCAGAAAGGAGGCTCCGCTGGGAGAGTTGCTCAGAAAAGATGTGAAGGAGGATGCTTATCTCTTCCAGGGAACAGGCAGCAACAGCTTGGCCCGAGACAACTACTTGGCCTTCCCTTTACATGAATGGGGAGATAGACGGAGTTCTACTCCCATAGAATTACAGTCCCAGAAGCCCACGGGGCCAGTTCTACCCTGTCTACTGGGTTGTCCTGACTCAGCATTGACTCGAGGACAGTGAGTTCCGCGGGTGGCTTGAATGGGTGTGTCCCTTTCCCAAGCAGGGTAGGGTGAGGCAGGTCCTGAAGTGTCCTCCATGGCGTACCTACCTGGATGGGGAGCCAGCCAAGGCGGTCCTTGAAGTACAGCGATCGCTGGTCTCTGCGGAAGGCGATGGCGTTTTGGGTGTTCAGCTTCTCAAGCTCCTTTTGGTTGTTGACCACAAAAATCTGCCAAGGAACACACTGGTGAGGGCGTCCGGAAGCACTTCGGAGAGCATAGCGGCAGCGCCCCTGGGGGAGATGGAATCGCCATCCTCGGAGAAGGGGGATTTGTACCCTTCCCCCTAGGGCTCCTCCTGAAGTCAGGGGATGTGTCTTGATCCTCACACCTTCCAGTCCCTCCTGTCTGAGGTTTCTGCAGGGCCTCTGGGATGGGTAGTGGGTAACGCTTTGGGTTGCTAACCACAAGGTCAGTGGTTCAAAACCAGCTGCTCCTTGGGAGGAGGCTTTCCAGGAAACCAACTAGAAAGCCCGGAGAGGCACTTCTACTCTGTCCTATAGGGGTCCTACTCTACCCTATAGGGATTCTACTCTGCCTTAAAGGAATTCTCTGCCCTATAAGGATTCTGCTCCGAACTATAGGGACTCAACTCTGTCCTACAGGGATTCTACTCTACCCTACAGGGATTCCACTCTGCCCTATATGGCCACTATGTGTCCAAATCGACCACCGGCAGTGAGGGGTTTGTTTTGTTACATCTGTACTTAGGGGTGGGAGAAGCCCTGGTGACATAATGGTTATGTGTTGGGCTGTCATCTGCAAGGTCAGTTGGAAAGCACTGACCTTTTAGAGAAAGACCCCTCTAAAGAGTGTCTTGGAAACCCACAGGCACAGTTCTACCCTGTCCTATAGGGTTGAATCAGCATTGACTTGAAGGCAGTGAGGGTTTTTTTAAAAATTGGGGAGGGGAGTTGGCTACTTATAGATAAATAGAGATATATGATGTCTTCTGTGATTAAAAAAATTAAATATTTTCAATGTTCCCAAGACTTAAGAAATAAAAAGATGATGCTGTCATCTAATCACGTTATCCAATTCATTCAGCGCCCCTGCCCCCACCCCCAGAATTTAGTGGAGCATGACCTGGAAAGTTCTTAACAGCGTCAGTCTCCTGTTCTTTGACATCTTAACTCTGGCCCGCAACACCCGGGCAGCTCATGTTTTCTTTCCTCTGGTTCTCTAACTGCAGTGGCATCGTCCTTATGTACACTTGAAATGGCTGCTTTGTCTTTTTAAAATTGAAATACCCCCTGCATGGTTTGGCTTAGTGTACTTTCAACACTATAGGTAGAATGGGTGGGTTTTCACTCAGAAATTCACCATGGTATGTATAGTGAAGCAAACCTTGGGAGCAGCCTATAAATAGCCAGCACTCAGCACTGGTTATACAAATCATAGCACAGCAGGGCCACAGACAGACGACTGTACCTGCCTTCAAGTGATGCTTACGATGGATGCATGGCCAGTGCTCATGTCAAACTAGTCCAAAGAGGGGCGTAGTGAGCACACAGGAAGGGACCACAGGGAAGAAGATCAACTAGCTGATGGCTGTGAGGGGGCGGGAAACGGGACCGTTACACTACTTGATCTATTGGGGTTTGCTTTGCTTTTAATTGGAAATGTTCTTTAGTAAGAAGCATAAAATGATACTCTAAAAGAAGGTTGAAATATGACTAGATTTCAATAGAGACAACTAGGACACATCATTTTCATACAGTCATCTCAACCAGGTTAAAAAATTCTTCTTTAAAAATACCAAGAAAATACTTCCTAAAGGGAACCACAAAAAACCAGTTTTCTTTGTTTGATTTTCCAATTTCCAATCATGAGGTGTACCTAGCGTCACGAGGGAAAATTAACGTACTAAAAAGGATTTGAAAAGCCATGAGAAGGTCAACTGGAAGGCCCTTATTGATAACTGTGGTCATTACATAACATCATCAACGTCTTGAAGACCTAGAGGTGAAGGGGTGGAGTTCAGCCTGTCAATGAGGTCACAGCCTGATGGTGCCTCCTGGTGGAAGTGGCCTTCTCACAAGGTCACCTTCCTGTTGATGCCATGTAGAGACCTCCAGGAGCCCTGGAGATGCATCCACTGCCATTGGATCCACGTGACTTTGCACGCACCAGCCAGCGATGTTCCTGCATTCTGCACCATTGCATGTAGCTTCATGAATCTGATGGGGACTTATGGACTAGGATCAGACTCATGGACTTGAGTTGGACTGGGCTGAGATGTTTTATTGATGCCTAATTACTTCTTGATAGAAAGCTCACTCTTACCCATCTATGAGTGCCCTTGGATGTGTTTCTCTAGTCAACCCTGCCTAACACAATCACCATCCTAGATTTTGCCCCCCAAAGCCTTACCACAGGGACTTGTGAGGAACTGGATCCATGCAGAGATTCCCCGTGGGAAGGGTTATTCACATTCACAGGAGGCCCGCACTGACATCTTCCTGGAGGCCCCGGAAATCCTCGTTCCCCTTTGGGTCCCATCCTAAGTTGTCCTAGAAAGGAACAGACGGCTGTGTTACTGGAGCCGAGGAAGTGAAAACCACACGGCCCCAGGAGCCGTGAGCAACCTCCCCAACAGAAAGACTTGGTCCAAGATCAGAGCATTTCAGGAGAGCGGTTCAAAGGGACATGTCTGACCTAAGAGAGGGAACAAATCCTCTTCGCATCCCTTCGTGACTCTGGGTGGATGGCAGGGGTGCTCCCAAGTCTCACTCTCCCTCCCCTCTGTTGTAGAGATGCCATGAACAGATAGTTCCCCCTTTGACTCCCTTGCAGCTAGAGCTGACCATGTCTGACAGTTCTGGCCGATGTGAAGCCAGGGAGAAGGCTGGTAACCTAAGAACGTTTTTCTGATAAGGAGAGAAACATGGTTTAAGGGAAACATAGCTTCCTACTCTTTGAGCTTCAAGACAGACAACAGGTATCTGACACAGCAGCAGCCACGTGGCAGCCAGGAAGCCACAAATTCGAGGAAAGACGTGAATAAGCAGGAAAGACAAGGGGGCCTGAGAGACATTTAAAGGCCGAATCAAAGCCAGCTGCTGTCACCTCTAGACTCTGGTTTTATGAGAAAAACAATCCTCTGTTTAAACGATCGGTGACAGGAGATGCTTGCAGATGAACACCTCAGTGCCTGATAACGTCCATGGCTTTTGATTCGTTTATTTTGTTGTTCTATCTAGGACTTTTTTACAGAGACATCTCTGGGTGTGGATTTCTTTGGTTTGTTCTGGGGGGTAAGGGAACGTTGCTGGCTCCTGGTCCTAAGAAGAGTCCGGCTGTGCCCCACAAAACGATGAGAACTGGAAACTCAGCAAGGTGGGGACCCTCAAGACGTCTGTTCTCGCGCTGGTCTTTAAAACCACGAGCCGGACCAATTCCAGTAGGATTTGGGGGTCAAGGTCCAGGCATCTGTCCTTTTAAAGCTCTCAAGATGACCCCAATGTGCCCCAAGGTTGAGAACCAGTGGCCAAGGGAAGCGTCTCTTCATAGACCAGCCACTCGCCCTCAGATTTTCCTTCACTTCATGCCCCACCTGTCCTCCACAGGGGCCTCTCCTCCCAACCAGGTTCAGACATCATTTCCTCAGGGAAGACGTCCTGGTTTCTCACACACCCATGCTCCCTTGGGAACAATGTCATCATCCCTGCTCCCTTGTCTCCCCAGCACTTAACTGTTTGTGACCCTGCACAGTGAGGCCGGTCACCTTGTCACATGTAAGCTGCACGAGGGCCGTGCTGGTGCCTGTTGTTACCACCGCTGCTTGACACGCCTGACACAAAGGAGCGCTTGCTGGTGTAGTGGTTACTCTCTGGGCTGCTTGGCGAACAGTTCAAAACCACCAGCTGCTCTGCCGGAGACCGACCGGGCTGCCTACTCCGGCGAAGAGCTACAGGCTCAGAACCTCCTAGCCTGTTCTACAGGGCTGCTACGAGTTGGCATCAACTCAGTGGCTGTGAGTGTATGTGTGTGTTGGCTCGACACATAGTAGGGGCACAGTACTCGTATGTGTCTGACGACTGAATGCGTGGATGCAGACTCACTGGAAAGACTATACCTGTGGGAAAGTTTAGATGAGTAGAAAGTCGTAGAGCAGCAATCACTCCACAGAAAGAGAGGAAAAGGGAAAGAACAGACTGCAAACAGAAACAAAAAGCAGTGACATCACTAGGAGGGGGTGTAGGGGTGCAGCCGTACCGGGGGACACTGCCCTGCAGGAGAAGGTAACACATACACACAAATATATATATATACACACACATATATAATGACAGTTTAAAAATATCCCTGTGGGATATCCATGTGGAGGAACACGTCTGATCAGGGCACACAGGAGCAAATGAAGAGGGAGGGAGAGAGAGTGGAGCACATCCTGGCCCCCCAAGCCTGAGGAAGATATTCCTGCTCAGAGCAGCCAATGCACAGAGAGGACCAAAGGGCCAGACCCACTGCGAGACAACATCGCTAACTGACCCATAGCACTACCGGGGACGATACTGGAGAGACAGTGCGGGGAATTGCACCTGATCTGACCCCACCACACCGAGGTGAAACACTACGGGTGTGCAACAGAACAGCAAGGGGAACAGAGCAAGGAAGTCCCCAGGGAATATCAAAAATAGACTTTGGG